TTTTTGTGAAGCTCCCAGGGGGTTTCTGGCCTGCAGCTACAGGGGTGCTCCCTTCTCAGGACACCACAGCTTGAAATTCTAAACTCAAGGTTAAGATGGAGAACAGCAGCAGCTGCTCCCAGCAACCGCAGAGCCCTGGCGAGGCGAAGCGCCACAGGGGAGCCAATCCCGGTTGAGTTTACTTCATCTATTTCTAAAACTCTGACTTAGCCCAGCACGTTATCTTGGGCCTAAACTGGCCCTAAACTCAGTGAATTTCAAGTGAAGAGTCAGAACAGCCATCATGCTGGCATCCGGCCATTCTCCCCGGCCAGGCTTCTTGGCTAAACTCAGCTGAGTTGAATAATCGCTCCCCTTTCTTCCTTACAACATAATTGAAGCAACTTGAGAAAGATGGGATTCTCCAATCTGTAGCTCTCCTGCATGAGACACTTACTAATACAACTCAAGCACTAAGAAAAATCCCCCTAAGACATCAGCAGAAAGGGCAGGAGGTTTGAAAAAGGAAGTGACGCTGGCACTGGAGTAGGCCAAGGCTGGCATGTCCTGTTTGGGGCCATGACCCAGGGAGGAAAACCATTCCTCTGCCCACCGTCTCCACTTCTCAGCCCCCACAGCTCCTCTTCCTTAAACTGGGAGCAGAAATGTGGGTTCTAACAGGAGGGGGTGCAATTCACACCCAAAGGAAAGTCTGGTGCCTGTCAGTCAACTGTCAGAGGCTGCAGCCAGCCTGGGGGCTGCTGTCACATCCAGGCCCTGGACAACAGACCCTGCCAGGAGAGGCTGCCTGTGGCAGAGGATGGCCTGGGTGAGGGGCAGCAGAAAGGGTAGAATCGGGTGCTTTGGGGACAAGATACCCGCCGAAAGAAAGGAAAAGGATGTCACGAGGTGAAGGACAGTGCCTACCCAGCCAGCTGGGACATGGCAGAGAGGGTGCTAGGCACAGGGGTCACACCCCCAGGCCACGTTGGCCAGAAGAGCAAAGAACTTAGTTCCTAATGACAAGGAGATTCCTAGTTTACTCCTAAATGCTGTGCTTCTGACTAAAGAATTTGAACATGAATTCCTGAATGCCGGCAGGGAGGATTTCAAGGCCTTCCACTCTTTCTCTCTAACCTGCAGCATGGAAAAGAAAAAGAGAGAAAACCCACTTTAGCTATCTAGAACATTCCACAGAGTAGCCAGGAGCCTGATATCCGGGGCTTTTCTACCCCACACCTGCTCTAGGGAAAGGCCCACCCTCACTCATGAGGCTGCAGGACTGCGGCTTGTAGGAAACAGAGGAAAGTGTAGCCAAGAACAGGTTATGCAGCCGATACAGGGTTCAAATACCAGGTATTGTTCATGCAGGGCTTACGAAGTGTCACACACTATTTCAGACTCCACCACGTAGGACTATTAATCCTCACAACCTTCTGGTGCTGTTACATTTTCAGTTAATAAATGCAGAAAGTGAGGTATTAGGAAGATAAATTACTTGCCCAAAGTCACAGGACCACCATCGAGTAGCTGGGATTGCAAAATCAGCTCAAAATTCTCCAGTAGCTTCTCATCATCCTTAAAATTGTTTATCACGGGCTGCAACATCCCACATGGTCTCGTTCCTACACCTCCTTTGACCTCACCGCCTCTGGGTCCCCCCTTACACACAGACATCATCGAACTGGCATTTGAGTTTTACTAAACAGGGCAAACTCCTGCCTCAGAGCCTTTGAACATGCTGTTCCCCCTGCCTGAGACGCTACCATAGACCTCTGTAGGCCTCGCTCCCATATCTTACTCATATCTCTGTTCAAATCTCATCTCCACCGAGCAGCCTCCCTGACCACCCGTCTAGACAAGCTGTCGCTGCGCCCCATTTCCTGCCACCTTACTCTGGCTCCTCCTCCCTCACTGCACTGATTGAGAGCTGAACTCAGATCTCTATTTGCTTTGCTGTGCATTGTCAGTCTTTCCCACCGGAGTGTAAGATCCACGGAACTCCCGCACTAGGCCCTGGCTCGATAAACACGTGTTGAATATGCCAGTATCTGAATGGAAGGGTGGGCGGGTAATGGGCCAGCTGAAGGCGAAACAGGGGTGACAGCAGAGTGTTTCTTCGCCAGTTGGAAGCGGTGCACCCGAGTCCTAGATGAAAACCAGACTGTCCAATAACCAGGTGTTCGCACATAATTTCAAGATTCCCTTGAAACCCCAGGGGAGAACATCTGTACCAATGGGAGGGATGCAGGAGAGACTTGGTTCCATTTTTGCATCAGCTGAAGTCCCTTCTACCCAGTAGCTGCCTCCTGGATAATTCAGGGCCTTAGGGAAGCTAGCAAAGAAAAGAACAGGGCCCATGAAGAGAGCGACCAAGTGGAAATACCAGGGTCTGCCTCCTGGTGTCGCAGTCCGGTTACCTGTCCACATCTACATCGTGTATCCTCACCTCCCCCTCTGCTTCCAGGGAGGTGAGACGACTCTAATTAAGAGTCCTTCCCCACATGGAAGCCAAGTCATCTTCCAAGAACTGACCTGACAGAATACGTTGACTAACAGAATACAAGAGAAGTGAGGCCAGGCCAGCAGCTTCCACTTCCTCTTTCGAACCAACCACCATGTAAAAAGTCTGATTACCCAAGACCGCACTGGGAGGAAGCCCACATCAGCCACATGGAGCAAGAGAGAGTGGTCATGACCAGACTCAGGACCAAAGTCTTCCTGGAGCTTCCAGCCCAGCCAAGTCCGACTGGCAGCTGAATAGAGCAGAGCAGGTGACTCACAGTGTCACCAAATGAAAACAGCCAAGTTCTGAGTATGGAATCATGGAAAGTAATACCTCTCTGTGGCTTTAAGCCACAGAGATTTGAAGTAGTTTATTAGATGGCAATAAATACTGACCCATCATACCAAGTCCTCACCAGGCATGCCCTCCTCATCCCTCAATTATTAGCTCTAATAATACCGCCTTCCAGAAGTTTCCCTTATCATTCCACCTAAGCCCTCACCTTGCTGACTTCTAAACTCTCAACCTACTCAACCTTGAAGGCTCAAGGACTCTCTCCACTGGGAAACCCCCCTGACTTCCACAGCTCCAGGGTCTCTGCATATGTGCCTGCACACACACCACTTCCCATCACCAGCTCCTACCACATAAGAGGGGCTCAGTGAAAGCCTATTAATTAAAGGAATAAACCCTGCAGAGCTCACTAGTCCTTTACTCACAATCTCATTCATTCTCGGCAGACCCGTGTGTGTCTCTACCACAGTGATTGGAAATGCCTTAAGAGTGAAGATCACGCTTACACATCTCTGTGTTCCTCATAAACTTTGCACATAGTAGATGCTCAATAAATGTTCTGTTGACTTTTAGCTGGACACTCCGTGACATAAATTCCAGACTGTTCATGAGCTGTGATACTCAGATTATTCTGAGTATCCTAAGCCTGGACTCCATGCAAGGATAGACAAGGTCCTGTGCATTTACCTGGGATACTTTTGCATCACTGAAAGTCTCAAAAGTCCATTCACAACAATGCGTTCATTCTAAAAAGATAATCTTTTGGAAGCCATATTCCCTTTAAAGACATTCACTTCCGGGCCTCCCCGGTGGTGCAGCGGGTTAAGCGCAGCACTGAGAAGCTGTCTGCAGCCTCTGCGGCACTGGTTTGATTCCTAGCCAGCCAGGGAGATTCCCACATGGCACGGCAGACCTCTCCTGTCTTGCCCGCTGCTCCCCTCAGCAGTGTATTTCGGTCCGTCTGCCTGTTCTGCTCCCTGCTCTGTCTCTGGTGGATTCTCTCACCCTCCTGCACCTCTGGCCTGTACCCCTGTGCTTGCATAAATAAATAAATCTTTAAAAAATAAATAAATAAAGACATTCACTTCCTACTTCAACTGTCCAGCATGAAAGAGTTAAGGGCACTTCCCACACCACCTGGGAGTCACAAATCAACTGGAACTATCTGGTTCAATCTGTTATTATAAAGCACAGTCCAGACAGCATTGTCACCACGAGGAATGACCATTCTATGAACACACACAGAGTCTAGTGACCTTTATTCAACATTCCAGAGATACAGCAGCTGTGTGGGCCTGCGAGAAAGGGGGAGGGTTATAAATAGCATGGTGTGGTGGGCCCATCGCTGGAGTGGAGGCCAGCGCCCTGGTGGTGGTTGGCCTGGGTCACTCCTTATCTACAGCTTTCTTATCTCTGGGAACACAAAGCATTTTCCCACCTGGCCACCATGGAGCCCTCCCCAACACTCCTGAGCTCCAGGGTTGTCCCCTGACTCTCCCTGGCCAGAGGGCTGGTCTGGCTCTCATCCTCCACCTTCCTCGTCCTTAGCTTGTTTCTGCTGGGACCTGATAGTAAAATCCTTATATGCTCATGCCAGGCCGTGAAATCTCAGTTTGACATGTAATCTCATTCTCAAGGTAGAGAAGTGAGAGACCAAAAAGGGAGAACAGCAGACGTGGAAGTGGGGAGAGGCAGGGTCAGGAAATAGGGTTCCGCTAAGCATGTAGCTGGCCCTCAAGTCCTTAGGGATCAAGAAGTCTGTTCCCCTCTGGGAGACCCACTGGGGTTGTGCAACAATCCTGGGTGTGGCCTGCCCTGGATTCTGCCTCTTCCAGGGGCAGAATTCTACCACTTCCCATTAGCTACCCCACCCCTAGCTGATACGCCAAAAATCTGACCCTACCTCCAAGCTCACCAACATGAAAGTACAGATCAATATTTGGCCATCTACCCGTGTTAACGACTGGTACTTCATAAAATGCACACACCATGCGCTTGATTATTATCACTCTCAAAGTATTGGAGAATTTCTAAATACTCTCAAGGTTGGTGTTTATTTCACTGCTACCCAAAACCAAACTATTCACAAACTAGGACCAGTCTATGAACCACTCTCTGGGTAGCACCTACATGATTTAGTTAAGTGCACAAACCATCCAAAATCTAGCATAATACATGTTGTGAACAAATACAAGAAATGGAATTGTAAAGGTCAACTTACTTGCTGATGGTTGAAATCTGACCAGATCTCGCAAATCGGTAGAAATCTGGAAAACGTGGCTATAAAACTGCTGGACTGAATTCTTCAGGCCAGAAATATCTCTGGAATGGGATCGGATTGTCTCATTCATCTGCCTGACACAGGTCCACAGGTTGCTGACGTGTTTGTTGAGCCCTTCCTTGATTCTCTGAAGGTTTCCGGAGATGGAGTCCAGTTTGCTACAAGTTTTCTCCATATTAGACACCCTGCCCTCAACCATGGAAACGTCCCTCTGGACCTCGTGCGTATTTTCCTTGCAAGTGTTAAGCTCAGAGAGGACCTGGCTCTCCAGCCTCTGCCACCTTTCCTCCAGCTGGCTGCAGCATTGAGCTGTGGGGTCCTGGGGAGGTGGGAGGGGTGTCACTGTCTTTTCTTGCTCATCCCCCATAGAAAATGCACCCTCTCCAGCAATTTTACCTTCTCTACAATTGATCAGCTCACTGTGAAGATGATTCACATCATCTTCAGTGTGGTTTAGTTGAGAATAAAGAAAACTAAAATCCTCTTGAACTTTCTGGATGCTATGTTCGATTTCGTGAAACTTCCTATACATGGAGTCATTTAGAGATTTCAAAAGGTACAAGCTATTACCCACTGTGTGGTCTTCGCCATTTGGCCAAGTATCTTCTATGCCATGAGGCTCTCCCTGGAAATTCTGCAGGCAAATATCCTCAACAACTTGTACTTTGTCCTTCAAGTGGTTTAATTCCATCATAACTTGTTCATTCCCAACTCCTGATGGACCAAGTAGGGCTGACGCCGGGGAAGTGAATTCTGCATCAGTGCTGTTAGCCAACTCCAGCACATTCCCCAGACGCTCTTCCAGGAACTGTATTTTCTGATTCAGAAGCTGCTTCAAGTCATCAACCTCTCCATTAATGGCCCCCCGCAGGGTTTCTTCAATGTAAAAGCAGTGCTCTTCCGCATTCTTCTCTGTCACGTTGATCCTTGCATCTAGCTCACTCCATCTGGCATCAAAGTCCACATCTGGCTCTGGAACTGCAAGGCGGTCAAACTCATTGTCCAGTCGTCCATTTAACATTCTGGTTGCTTCAGCAACTCTTTCAATTTTCTGGTCTAATTTCTTGATTTGTTCTGCCAAATCACCATTCTTTTCGCCACCACAGCAATCTGACTGAGCTGAAGGATCCTGTACTTGGGCTCGAAGTTTATCAATTTCTTTTCTCAGGTTTGTTTCCTTCTCTCCTATAAGCTCAATCACTCCCAGGTAGCTGCTCCCGTAGTCGTCGCACTGCTGTTGGAGACCAATCAACTTGTATTCACATGTGTTCTTCAGATCAGCCAGCTTTCTGTCCATTCCCTCCATGAGCTCCTCTCTCAGGGCATCGATCTTACTGTCCACATAAGCTTGGTGGAGCTCATTGGTTGTCATGGTCACCGTAGGGCCCTGGGCCGCCTCCTGGAGCTGTTTGAGCTGCCCTTCGTACCCCTTCACTTTCCCATCCAGCTCTTCCAGCTTGTCACTCTTAGTCTTCAGAGCATCCTTGACCTCAGCCAATTCTGACTTGATGTCCTTCATGCCAGCTTCCTTATTGTCGGGGACACTTGGAAGTGGAACTCTTTCTGTGTCTCCAGCAACCACACTGTCCGGCACTGGCGGGGGGTGCAGGTTACTGAACCATGATGCCATTTTGCTGGCATCATCCTGAATGGCATGTTTGAGGTTTTCGTTCACTCCAGCAATGGAAGACTGGAGATCAAGAACCGTCCGTGTAAGTCGGAGAACCTTCTCCTCAAGTACCTGGATTTTCTTATCCTGAAGATCTCGGGGACCCAGTTCTGGATCTACTGTCCGATTTGGCTCAGCATGAGTTGGCGATGAGGGCTTCTTGGGCTCTGAGACTTGGCTTGGTTCATTGTCTGTTACAAAGAAAAAGAAAGAGTTCAACATAACTTAGTATTTTCTACCTTTACTTGGATTCTGCAAAGACAATAAAGAGGGTACTTACAAAATACACTTAAACCTTCATTTTTAGATTCCCTACGTCACCACAGGCAACTAACGTGACAGTGAGAAAGGGCATGGGATGTGAAGTCACATAGACCTCCAATTGCATTTAGGATCTGATTTTACTGTCTACTTAATCTTAAGCATGTTGAGTTCTGTGAAATTTAATCTCATCTGTCAAGTAGAGGTACTATCTCCCCTGCTAGAGTTGTCAAGAGAATATGTACACAGCACTTAATAGATATCAATGGTCCCTTTTATCTGGAGGGAAATATTCCTTACCTATTTTAACATACAAACACGTCACTCCCACACTAGTAAATCTCATGGCTGACTGCATGCTGTAAAGCCACTTTAGCGAGATCCACCCACTAGCTCCTGGGTGGTGTGACAGCATATGATCTGCAAGCTACCCTCCAAATAATTCCTGAATGTTCATTTACTTTGATCATCATCCCCTTTGCTAAAAAAGGTCTCATAGATGTCATTTCCCCACTGGTGGGGAAACAAAAAGCAAAAGAGATAAAGCAATCGATTCTATTGGTGTCTCCTAACAGTAGCCATAAGGCCACATGTAGCAAAATTTACTAAGTCAAGAAACACAAACAATGAATTTTTGATGAGCCTACTTTGAGAAATACACACCCAAGGCAATAGTCAAAAAAGGAAAAAAAACCTGTTGTAAAAGGTGATTGTGGTATGTCATAAAACAAAAATAAACTGATATAGACACAAGTAAGTTAAACAAAAAGAAGATTATTGAAAACCTGCAGCAACAGGAGAATAAAAAAGCAAACCTACTCTTGAAACTCAGTGGATACCAGGACTGCTGGAAGGAATAATGCGGACAAGCCTGCAGACTACACTGAGACATAGCGTGTAAAGTGGGCAAAGTCTTACACAAGAAAGGTCACACATGAAATGCATTATTGTAAACTGACAAACATTCAAAGTAAATATAGAATGTTACAGATAATTTGGGGTTAACATTCATTATTTTCTCCTATAAACCTTTGCACATGATCATAACCATAGCTACTATTTATTAAGATAAATTTAGTGGTAAAACCAAGACTGAAATTCAGATGACCAAATCCCCCAAACAGAGAACTAAAAAGAACACCTTATTTTCCATACTGAAAAATATATTCTATATTAAGACATTGGGAGAGGAAAACATTTTTGATCCACATACAAATGAAATGCTGTTCTGAGCAAAGGGCAGGAGAATGGGGGTTGGGGTGGAAGGAAAGGCTTTTCTTATACACTCCTGATGACTGTGCACAAATTTTTGGAAGGGAAAATTTGAACTATCAATATGTGTCAAAATACTCAAAGTTCTTTTCACCCTGTAGTTACGCTTCTAGAAATTTATTCTAGTAAATAGGGAGGAATAAAAAATTTAACAAGAAAAAATGCTTATTTGGATATTACCTATAAAAATGAAAATTGCAAACCACTTCCATGGCTAATGGCAGGGAACTGTGTTCACATATGGCATTCTCTGAAGCCACTAGTGATATTGTAGAATATTTAATGATATTTACTATTTAATGATAGAATATTTAATGGTTGTTCATTACAGAGTTGTTAAAAGAAATTCATCTGGATAATTTTGGAGATCTACTTGGCTTTATTCAAAGATTCATGAATTGGACAGAATCCCAATCTCAAATAAATGAATTTTTCTTTCACAAAGTGTAAACGCAGGCACATTTACATCAACCAAATAGAAAGGCACTACAGGAGTTGTACAAGATAGAATCCTTTATAGCCAGAAAGAAGATGGGACAGGTTATTAGCATTATTAAATATTAAATGACTCCATTTGGGGTTATGTTAAAAATTTAGTCTAAAAAAAAATGACATAGTGGATTGAGTATAAGCATTTCCTTTCATTCCCTCCTGAAATCCCACTAAAATGAAAAAGATAAAAGGAAAGAAAAACAAAGTCACATTAAAAATTGGGAAACAAAATGATTTCGGACAGCAGCATTGGAAGTTAAAAGAAAACTGAGCAATGATGTCAAAAAATGAACAATTATTTCCAACCCAGAATTCTGAAGCTGCAGCAAAATTTTTATGAACTCTGAAATATCAAAAAGATGACCTCCCATGTAACCTTCTTGTAGAACACTAAAAGATGTGCTCGATCAAAACAAAGTAGCAAGTTTATAAAGGGCAAGTAGGGGTACAGGAAACAGGGACTCAATGGGAATGAGGAAAGTTAGGATTGGGAGGTGGTGGCTGTGAACCAGGGCAAGAGGATGGCCAGTCAGGGTGGGCAGGTGAAACTGATCTAGAAGAGATTTCTTCAAGAAGATGAAGCTGGGCCTCCCTGGTGGCACGGGGGTTAAGTCACAACGCTATCAAGCTAGCACCAGCCACTGCAGCATGAGTTTGATCCTGGCCAGGGAGTTAAACCACATGGAGCAGCAGACCTCTCCTGTCTCACCTGCTGCTCCCCTCAGCAGTGCATTTCATTAGAACTGGCTATTCTGTCCCCCACACTGTCACTGGTGAATCCTCTCACCCCCCACACCACTGGTTTACACCCCAGTTCTTTTTTTTTTTTTAAAGTTTTATTTATTTATTTATACAAGCACTGGGTACAGTCAGAAGCACGGGAGGGTGAGAGAATTCACCAGAGCCAGAGGGGAGAGCAGAGCAAGCAGACTGAGGAAGTACACTGCTGAGGGGAGCAGCGGGCGGCAGGAGAGGTCTGCGCGTCATGTGGGACCCTCCTCCAGTGGCCGGGGAGCAGCTGGGTATGGAACCAGTGCTGCAGAGGCTGCGGGCAGCTTCGCAACCCAGCGCTCAACCCCTGCGCCACCGGGGAGGCCCTACACCCTAGTTCTTGTATGGATAAATAAATCTTTAAAAAAAGAAAAAGATGAATATTACGAGAGAACAATTAGATAATTGTTTGGGTTTAAACCAAGATAAAAATACAGAAGGCCATGCAAAAGAAAACATGACAATAACTAGAAAAATACAAAAGTTCTGCAGAAAAGGAAACATTCGCAGTACATTACATGGCTTGGTTGTAAACATTACCTACATGGTTACTACAATTTAAACAATGAATAGAGAATAGATAAAAATATGACATAACTGTCATAAGAATAAGAGTGGCATACTAGAGAGGAAAAGTCAATTCTCACCGCCTATAGTGAGAAGTCAACAGATATGGAGGTAAATTCCAACAAGCCACATGAAAACTTTTAAGTAATTACTCCTCGAAAGGGGAAGCACAGGAGGACTTTTGCTTTTCCCAGTGGACCTATAATGTTATTCAACCTATCAAACTACATACACATTTAAACACCCATAAAAACTAAAACTAAACAAAAATAATCTCTTCTGATCCAGCAGACCCTTTGTGTGGTCCCAGCATAATATCTGATTTATCATGATTTATTGTGCTTACTTATCTAATGTTTGCTTTCCATCAGGCCAGGAATGTGCTTGCCTTGGTTTTTTTTTTTTTTTTCTCTTTTCCCAACTAGCTAGTATAGACACCGCCAGATAAGAAGCTCAATAAATATTTAGGAACTAAATGAATTTTTCTTTCACAAAATGTAAATGCAGGCACAGGGGAGAGGGTAAAGTTCTATGACCAAACATTATATGGTGGTCAGATTATGTATGCTTAAATTTTTTCCTGCATTTTATAAAAATTACTTAACTGATATCCACTACTTTTGTAATGAAAAATTATTTTAAAGTCTATTTTACAGACAATGGTAGGATGCACTACCAGTTTCAAAGTAGGAAACGCCTCATGAAAAATAGAATCATTCAAAGACAACTTAAACATTAAATTCATAAAATAATCTAGATCATATTTATTCCGACACAATTTAAAAAAGAGGAAAGATAAAGTGATGTAGAATAAAATGACAAAACAGTTTTATGTATAAAAGCCATTCTTTTCACCTAAAAGCGAAGTATACCCTGGGGAAAAATGATCTTTGTTTTCTTAGTCATTCATTGAATTTGTGCTACTTCACTTCAAAAAAATTTTCAGGGGCCTCCCCGGTGGCGCAGCGGTTGAGCGCTGGGTTGCGAAACTGCCCGCGGCCTCTGCAGCGCCGGTTCGATCCCCGGCTGCTCCCCGGCCACCAGAGGAAGGTCCCACATGGCGCGCAGACCTCTCCTGCCGCCCGCGGCTCCCCTCAGCAGTGTACTTCGGTCCTTCTGCCTGCTCTGCTCCCCGCTCTGGCTCTGGTGAATTCTCTCACCCTCCTGCACTTCTGACTGTGCCCAGTGCATGTGTGAACAAAACAAACAAAACAAACAAATAAATAAAACATGCCTCTATAAAAAAAAAAAAAAAAAAAAAAAAACAGGTCTTCTATATTAAAAAAAAAAAAATTTTTTTTTTCAGAAACAAATCTAAAAAAAACCCCTCTAGGGGTCTCCCTGGTGGCAAAAGGGGTTAGGACACAACCTATGAAGCTGTCCACAGCCTCTGCAGCACAAGTTCGAACCCCGACCAGCCAGGGAACTATCCACATGGCACAGACCTCTCCTGACTCGCCCGCTGCTCCCCTCTGCAGTGAATTTCGTCAGTCTGCCTGTTCTGTTGCCCACTCTGTCTCTGGTGAATCCTCTCACCACCACCCCCCAGCACCTCTGGCTGTACCCCAGCCCTTGTATGCATAAATAGATAAATCTTTAAAAAAAAAAAAAACTCGGTGGATACTTCTAAGTTGGGGTTAGCTTTGCAGATATTTCACTCCAAACAGCATGAGAATGATTCTACTTACCTATTTTTTATTTTATTTATTTATTTTTTATAATTTTCCTTTTTTTTTTTTTAAGATTTATTTATTTATTTATACAAGCACTGGGTACAGTCAGAAGCGCGGGAGGGTGAGAGAATTCACCAGAGCCAGAGCGGGGAGCAGAGCAGGCAGAAGGACCGAAGTACACTGCTGAGGGGAGCCGCGGGCGGCAGGAGAGGTCTGCGCGCCATGTGGGACCCTCCTCTGGTGGCCGGGGAGCAGCCGGGGATCGAATCGGCGCTGCAGAGGCTGCGGGCAGCTTCGCAACCCAGCGCTCAACCGCTGCGCCACCGGGGAGGCCCATCTACTTACCTATTTTTTAAACTAATTTTTGCTCCTTCAAATGAAAGATTTATGGGAATTTGTAGATGTAAAGTAAAACACATAAAGTGCTACATTTGACTCTTCTCATCTGTACCTCAGTTTACCCAAGTCTGAAACCTTTGGCATCTCCTGCACTGATTGTAGGTCCTTGACTTGCACAAGTTGGCTCTACAGAGCAATTTACTTGCAATAAAAGCTCATCTTCCCATCACTATTGCTTTGGCAAGTAAATTATTCGGCCGCAGGTGTCTGTGGCAGGTACACGTGTTACTTGAAGTCCCTGGAAAGTGGGAAGTAACGGGCCCTGTGGTGTGAAGCAGCACTCGAAGTGTAAGAGGCGTCGGGACAGACACCAGCGCGTACCTGTGCCTTTCTTCATTGTGTTTCGAGGCCGGGAGGGCGTGGGTTGGGGCATTTTCCTGGGGTCTCTGGGACCTTCTTGGCAGTCTCCCCCTCTGAAGCCAGGACAGCACCTCCATTCCAGCTGCGTCACTGTCTTGTACCTGGTGACGTATCTGGGTCTGAAGTTCACACGATACCTGCCAAAGAAAAGGGAGGCATCTCATTCCGGACTGCAGTTACAAGCCCCCCAGCACTCCTGAGGTGGAGTAGAAGGAAGAGGGTCCAGGTCACTCAGGGCCCCATTGCTTTTTCCAGGCTGACAAGAGGGGTCACTGGTCTCCTCAGTGCAGCCCTGAACCCCTGGGCTTCAGCTGAAATCAGCCTCAGGAAGGCAGGGACTCTCCCTGGACCATGGACTGGCCTCCATCCTCCATCTTTTATGCCCATCTGCACCAAGTCTCCCTCCCAAGGAAGGCTGAAAAGAGAAATGAGGAAGCAGGAGGGCCTCCCTGGTGGCATAAGGGGTTAAGTCTCAGCATTACGAAGCTATCCACAGCCACTGCAGCATGAGTTCAATCCCCAGCCAGGGAGATACCCACATGGCAGAGCAGACCTCTCCTGACTCGCCTGCTGCTCTCCTCAGCAGAGTATTTCAGTAGATCTGCCTGTTCTGCTCCCCACTCTGTCTCTGGCAAATCCTCTCATCCCCCCATACTGGCCTGTACCCCAGTTCTTGAACGCATAAAATCTTTAAAAAAAAAAAAAAAAGAAAGAAAGAAAAAGAAAAAGGAAGCAGGATTGGAACCATTCAAAAATGCCCCCAAAAGCCATTTAAAATTTTTATAGTACATTTTCCCTGACGTGCTTGCCCATCGCACAGACTCTTGAAACGAGCCGTGGCATCCTCCAGGCCGCGGCGAGGCTGAGCCCAGAGCACACAGCAGCGACCCAGCAGCCCCGGACACCCAGAGAGCCGGATCCAAGGGTTCACCCCAGGAACCCGACTCACAACACTGACACAGCCCGGCTTCGTACTCCACCCCAACTTCCATTTCCAGCTTGGGAACCTCTTGAACTTTTTCACTTTTCACTTCTAACACCAGCACTAGCAGCTGGCCTTCTTTTTTTTGGACCAAGTCCCAGAAAGAAATAGGTTTTATGTCATCTCCCCAGGCTCTCTGTGTGCTGCTCGGGGGGAGTCGGGTCTGCCAGCTGCCTGGGCCTGTGGCCACTGAGCCCTCCACCTCAGCACCAACCTCGGGGCAGGCGGGGTTTTAAGTTTTATGTTCCTGAGCAAATGACACATCGCTAAACGCAGTAGAACTTGGTGTCCCCCAGAGGGTCAAAACCTTGATTCCCAGAACCTCAAGTGTACAGAGTCCTGCAGGACAGCAGTATAGCCCTCAGGATGCCAGAGAACCCTGTTGATCGCACCGCTGGAGGCGACAGCACCCCACACCCTTCACTGTCCTGCTTCACTTGGTCTTTTAGGGTTGTGGCTCTCAACTCCAGCCTTGTGAAGAGCCATCTGGAGACCTGCCAATGCCTGCATCTCCCCCTCAGAGGTTCTGGTTTAACTGCTGTGCAATGGTATCAGGGCATGCGGGTTTTGTGAAGCATCGGCACGAGACTCTTCAAGCAAAACTGAAGAGAAAGCCCAACAAGCACAACAGAAGAGAGTCTTGTGTACAGGGCAGGGGCAAGATCGCCCTCCTAGGCAACCTGCCCACCTCTCCCACAAGGCCCTGAGGTTTAAATTTGCCTCTTTTCACAAAGGAACTAACAGAGCCTCAGAAGTAGACTGATTTGTCCACGTTCCACCCATAGGAAGACCAAGGCTCGGATTCCACCCCACGCATGCTCCACGGCACCCCCACATGCAGAAACTGTGATTTTCTGGCAAAAGCCTTAAATTTTGAAGCAGTGGTCCCACAAGCTGGATGAAGGGGGGAGCCACCATCCCATTCAGCAAACAATGAGCATCTAATTTGGTCCAGGTACACACCAGCCCTCAGGCCCCTGCCAACCACAAGAAACCTGTGTGCCCCTACAAACTATAAAAAAAAAAAAAGAAAAAAAATCCACTTCATTATTTTACATGCTCAAGAACAGCATAATGCTGGAAAAATGTGTAATGTCAGAAAAACGTTGCTCCTCTGAGCATTTAAAACTGAGTATGAAATGTGTTTGCTCTTGGGTTTTGCTTGTGTGCCAGGAGATGACAGCCTGTATTAGAGTCTTTGGAAGGGGCTGAGCTGGGACTAGGAGAGCAAAACATGGACCCTGATGCCTGTGGAGGAGACAACTCCTACCCCACCCGGGGCCTTAACCCAACTGCTGAGCCCAGCGTAGGAAAGTGCTCGCTTTCCCAACGCTCCTCATTTTCTTTAAAGGCAGCTATTTTGGAGCCAGCTCCTAAATTTAGGAAAGTTCCCTGGAGTCCCTGCCTTCCTCTCTACGCCCCCTCCTGCCCCCAGTCTCCACTGCCATCCTTGGCCTGATCTTCTCTGGAAGGTTTCTGGTTTCCAGCAATGGCACTCAGGTTGACAGTGTTCCTAACAAAGATTTCAAGTCCAAAGAGTAACAGGAACCTTCCTGGTGAGCAGTGACAGCTGGAAAAGATCAGGAGGCCACTTGCAGTTCTGGGGACGCTCATGTTTGGCCTTCATACCCAGTGACAAGGATCCCATTGGTGGCCTCAATTTGGGGGTGGGGTATGGGATTATACAGCCCCACAGCCCTGCTGGGATCATCACTTCCACAAGAGCCAGTCTGGGGGTGCCCCAGAGGATCGGGAGAATCTGGTGGGATCCCCAGGCCTCCATCTGTGTCACCCATGAGACAACATCCTAGTCAGGGAGCTTTACAGAGATGTCCGACTTTTACCCTCAAAATTCGAATTGGGGGCCTCCCTTGTGGCCTAGGGGTTAAGTCTCAGCACTATCACCTTGATGGCCACCGCAATGGCCCAAGTTCAATCCCCAGCCAGGGAGCTGACCCACATGGCACAGCAGACCTCTCCTGTTGCACCCGCTGCTCCCCTCAGCAGTATATTTCAGTGGATCTGCCTGTTCTGCTCCCCAATCTGTCTCTGGTGAATCCTCTCACCACCTGCACCTCTGGCCTATACCTCAGTTCTATGTAATAATAAAATCTTTTAAAAAAAAATTTTGAATTGGTCTGGGGGCTGGGGTTGCCCAAGCAGCTCTACATTTCAGAAACACCCCCAAGTAATTGTTAAGCACAGTCAGAGCTGGGAAGCAGGGTGTCAGACCCAGGAAACCCATCCACCTTACTAGCTAGAGCCTCTGAGGTGACCAGGATCAGACAACCAGGCAGGGGAAGAGAAGCTTACGCGTGTCCCCAGGGCTCCAGGACCTACGCACAGGAGACGCCTGATAAATACTGAGTCAGCATCTAGCTGCACCCAGCTGAGGGACGGACAAAGGGACAGAGTCACAGGGGTGCTGGGTGGAGCTGGATGGCTGACTCAGGCTGCAGCCTTGGCCCCATCCCAGTCTTTCAGTTGGGGGTATTACTGCATCCTCTCCCTGGGAGTCCCAACCACAGCTGCCTCAGGCACCCTTTTGGGGCCCTATGGGTCTAGCAATGAGCTGCCACACGGTGTAATCCTGCCTCCACCCCTAGGAGCATTCTTCCAGTCTCCCACTCTTCTCTCCCGCCCTCTCCCTCTGAAACGCTTTTGGGTTTCTTTTGGGAGGTGGGGCAAAACATGTGCTCACCATTTTTTCAAGTTTGGTCACCATGACAACATGCCATGTTGCCCAGGAGAATCTAATATGAAGGTGACAAGACTGGAAAAGTTGAATCAGAGTTCAGGGATCCTATGATTGAAAGGATCCCTATTAAAACAGAATGTGACAAAATGATATCACCCCCCAAAGACTCCTTTCTACTGATCCCCAGTGAGACTGCTCTCAGAATACATTTCAATTCACACTTATATTCACTTGCAGAGCAAAGATTCTTGTTGATTTTGTTCTCTACAACATCCCCACTTTTTAACAGTGTCTGTCCTATTTCAGGTGTTTTATAATTGTTAACCAATCAAGAATTTTATTAATCAGGGCTCCCTGGTAGCACAAGGCGTTAAGCACAGCACTATGAAATTATCTGCAGCCTCTGCAGCATGAGTTCCATCCCCCACAGGCCAGGAAGCAACCCACATGGCGCAGCAGACCTCTCCTGACTCGCCCGCTGCTCCCCTCAGCAGTGTATTTCAGTCAGTCTGCCTGTTCTGTTCCCCACTCTGTCTCTGGTGAATTCTCTCACCCTTGAACCTCTGGCCTACACCCCAGCTCTTGTATACATAAATAAATAAATCTTTTTAAAAAAGAATTTTATTAATCAAACAATAACTAATTAATAATAGTAAGTTGACCTTTGGCAAGATTGGGGGGCATCCAATGTCCATATTAAAATCCTCTGAATTATCCACAGTCCAACCCAATAGAAGTGAACCAAATCAAGCCCCAAAGCCATCAGGACACACACCAGAATGTGACTGAGCTGTGTTGTCCCATAAGGTGACCATTAACCACATGTAGTCATATAAATTTACATTAATCAAAGTTAAATAGAATCAAACATGCTCCTCAGTCACACCAGCCACACATCAAGTGGTCAGTGGTCACATCTGGCTGGTAGCCACAGCTCTGCACAGCATGAACATCTCCATCCTCACAGAAAGTTCTTTGAGACAGAGTTGGCTCAGTTATTCAAGAGGTTGTCCAAGAAACAGCAACAGGCACAAATCTGTTCATCTCTTGCTCTCTATTCCACATTCACCATTTTCTTTCTCCTCCCACATCCCTTCAGAGCGATCAGTTGAATGCTTCTCTGAAAATAACCGACATCACTGGCAGAGTGTCCTCAGGCCAGCTGTCCACAGCCCTACTGGGATTTATTCGGCAGAAATCACATCCACAGGAGCCAGCTTGGAGGATCCCCAGAGTATGGTGAGAACCTGGAGGATCCCCAGGCACTTAGTATTTAACTGTAGTTTTATTTTAACACAGGACACTAAAAATCTACACAAATCTGAAGCTCAGTGCCCTCTCAGGGACACTCGCTTGACTAGGATTTCTCCAAAAAACCAACTTTTTAGTAACTTTTTAGTAAATTCCTCTCTTTCCAGTCACTGGCGTGCCCCCAGAAACCTGGAGCCAACACTTCT